CAAAACGCCAAGCCGTGTGCGCGCGCGCGACGGGCTCCTAAAGGCCGCGGGGCTGCGGCCCCGCACGGCCCGCGCCTTACCTTTTTGACCTGGTCATCCTTTAGTTCGGTGAAGTAATAGGCCAGTAGCTGAGCAGCGATCATTCTGCAACCGAAGGGGGCCCCTGACGGCTTCGCCGGACAGCAGCCCCGAGAGAAGACGACCCGAGTCTGGGCGGGGAGGATGGAGAAGCAGGCGCGCCGCTCCCCGGCTCTCTGGCCGCGAGAAGGAAAGAGAAGACCCCCGCGGTCCCGTCCTCAGCCCCGCCGGGGAAAAAAAGATGCTCCTTTCTCTGCCTTTCCTCCACGCGAGAGTGACTAAGTCGAAAACCTGCCCCCTTCCTGCGCTACCATTGGCTGAGCGAGGCGAGATGGCCCGGCAGGGCTGGCAAAAAAGCCTCGCCGGTGGCGGCCCCCCCCCCCTCTCCTTCTGTCAGCAGGAAGGGGAGGAGGCCCCTCCGGCCATCCCCGAAAAGGGATCCCTTCCCGCACGTCCCCCACGTCCGCTAGCCTTCCCGAGGCACCCGGAGACCTTGCGCCGCGTTTCTTGCGCTGCGTGCGCCCTTCCCGCTCCGGAAGAAGCGAGGCCCGCGCGTAAAAACGCTCCTCCCTGAACTCTCCAGGGAAGGGGGGTGAAAAACACACCCGACGCATTTCTGGGCCATTGCACCGACCCGGCTGGGGGAAAAAAAATAGGGGACGCCTTTTAGGAGGGGGAAAGAAACCGCGCCAACGCGGGCTCTGCCGACCCTGGAGAGTCCGAGGTGGCCTCTTGCAGAGGGCTCTGGGTGGGGACCCTTGGCGCGCGCTCTCCGTCCCAGACCGGGAGGGCACAGCGGGCGGTTGATTGGGAGAACCAGGGGAAACCCCCGCGTAAGACGCCTTGGGGGTCTGGAGGAAAGGCGGAGTAGAAATCTAATAAAAATATAAAAAGTTGCCCACGGAGAATTGCCTACACTCCATAATGATGCAGGCCTACCGGCTCACCTTGCCTTTTCCTTTCCACCTTTTGAGGCATGTCTATTTCAACCTACAACTGCTTTCATTCAGATACAATGTGCTGTGTCATAGCAGAGATATGGGTCTGTGTGTTTCTAAGAGTCTGGTAGCATCTTTTCCAGCTAACACAATTTATTAAAAGGCGTAAGCAGCTCAGGAAAGCTTATGCCTTTTAATAAAACGTGTTAGTTGGAAAAGGTGCTACCCAGTTTCTCATTTTTCACGCTGCAGACTAACACAGCTCTCTTTTTACTGTGTGCCTCTAGAGAGGACTTCTTAGCTCTGAACTAAACAACATGAGTTGTAATTTTGCATTTATTTTCTCACTCCAACTGAAGATGCATCACTGATTTTCCAGCATGGGGTATGAGGGCCATACAACTTATTTTTCCAGTCCAGTTGGTTTTGAAACCCAAGAAAAGCACATACAGGGAACTGAATGCACAGGGCTTCTGAAGAAATGCTCCCATTTTTAAGGATAGTTCCTCCTGGGACTGCTGGGGGGGGGGGATCACACAATCCACTGTCTCCCCCACAAACGAGCATGCACCCATTTATACCGAAGTGCTGCCATAATGCCCTCTCCCTGCCACAGAGAAACGCTGCACTCTGCTTGGCTTTTAAGCAATAACCATTTAAGCACTACTGTGCAGGTTTTGCACAACAATTTTAAAAAGGACTTCTGAAGACACTTAAGGCTGAAGTTGGATGAGCACTTGGTTACCCGGTGAATTTTCTGGTCCTTGTGTCTGTGCAACCACATTTAGGACTGAGCTGTAGGAATTACATTCACCTGAACTTTATGTTTCTCGATTTTCTTGTTATAAAAGACTGGGTTTTAAGCCCAGAACATTTATGGAAATACATTCAAGAGGAGCTCAACTTACTTCTCGGGCAACTGCCGCTACTGCCAGACTCAAGCATTTTCTTTAATGGTGTAGTTAATGTTAAATAGCTGCTGGACCACATTCCTTTGCTCCCTCCTCTCGGCAGAGGGATAACTGCCAGCCCTTTGATGGCCTCCAGTGCAAAGAAAGAACAAGGTAATTGCCATCCTGGATCTAGAGAGCAAGATAAAAAAGCCTGATCTTGAGAAAGTGAATGGTACCATTTCAGGTTGCCAGTAGGAGCTCAGATGACAGAACGTTTCCCCATAAGAAAAAGAAAAAGAAACGTTTCCCTCCAGTTCAAGGATGGTGACCTCTTAAGCCTTTTCCTAGACCAGTGTTTCTCAACCTTGGCAACGTTAAGATGTGTGGACTTCAACTCCCAGAATTCCCCAGCCAGCAACGTCTTAACGTTGCCAAGGTTGAGAAACACTGCCCTAGATATTTGAGACAGCCCAGACGCAAGGTTATAACCTCAAAAGAAGACATGTCATAGGAGAGCTAATGCTACGGTTCTCTGCACTCTTGCTTGCTTTTAACTGCAAATATAGAGAAATCAGAAGAGATCCAAAAAGAAATGAACTCCTTGGATCATTTTTCAATTTCAAATCCTCACCCAAATTATTATTTGCCCTGCATATTGTTGTTATTATTTATTTGGTTGCTTATTTATAACATTTAGATGGCCACCCATCTTAACCAAAACCCTGGGTGGCTCACACCCCAAAATATATATGTTGAGCAGGGCAAAGCAGTTTGCTAAACGAGTGATCGGTATTAGGAGAAACAAACACAGACAGTCTGTAGTTTTTCTTCATGTGTAGTCTATTTACAAATAACAGTAAAGCGACATTGTTGGTATATATATATCAACATGAAATAAAAACATTAAACCAAAAAATATAATTTGACTTAAATTTATTATAGTCGCCCACTCTGGTAGACTCTGGGCGGCTTACAAGAGACAAAGACAATAAAAACAGATTCAACACCACAGGCAGCCTGGACTAAAATAATAATAGCAATAACAAACCACCCCAGGGGCCCCACAAACATATTAACCTCAGGTCTTTGGAACCCCAGGAGAGAGGGCATCATATTTACCTGTACCTGAACATCTAATCCATGCTGGCTGGGGAATTCTGGAAGTTGAAGTCCATGCATCTTAAAGTTGCTAAGGTTGAGAAACACTGATCTAATCAAATATTACTGACTCTCCCAGCTGTTTAGCAGGGACCTTTTCCTTCATCTGCCCTTCTTTTAAAGATCTGTTGATCCAAAATCTGCCATAGGACCTGGGGACCTCCTTAAAATGATGGGGTTGAAATGGATCCTTGTGCCCATAAAGTCCAAACTCTGGCTCAGTGCTGGAATCCAGAACCTCCCAGTCAGCTAGCAGCCCATCTCCATCTGTAGGGAACTCACAAACTCTCAGGAATTGGTTCCACTGTCATACTCTTCTGAGAGTTAGCTGGCTTACTCTAACAATCAGAATCTGCCTTTCTGAAACTTAAATCCATTACTGTATTCCATATCTTGCATTCTAGAACAAGTGAGAACGTGTCTTGACATTCTTCTACTGTAAGTCAGACTCTTTCAGATATTTGAAGAATACGATCCTGTCCTTGATTGATCATCTTTTCTCCAGGCTAAACATGCTTATCTCCTTCAACCCCGTTTTCATAGATGTTCACTTCTGCTCCCCTGATTATCTGTTGCTTTCTCTGAGCCCTGGTGCAATTTCTCTGAATCCTTCATTATTCTTCCATGCCAGAAGCAGAAAGATGAAATACCCTCTAAAACAAAATACTTAAATTCCGTATTTATGTCAGGAAACCTATCCCACTTTTCATTTGATTTCTAAATTTCATTAAAATGAGTTTCTGGGACCTGTAGCATGTGAGTCTTAAGGTTGCATCCATGCAAAGCTTTTATGGGTATGCATTCTTTCACAGAATTTTAGGAGGAGGGCACCTAATGCCTTCACTTTCTGTTTTGTTTTCCCACCACCTTTTCTATCTTTTTTTCTTCCCACAGAAATGCATTAAGAAGGAAAAGGCATAGGAGCTGCCCGCCTCATTCTTTTACCTGAACCACCAGGCAACCTGTCTGGAAATACTGTAGCTAAACTAATCCACGTGAACTTTATTGGCAAGAGAATGAAATGCACAAAATGATCAGAGAACCGGATCCATTTCCTACATTAACTAAAATGGATTATTGCCAAACATAACAGGCTTCTCAGGGCAGAAAAACAAGGAGGGCAAGGAAACAAAACTAAAACCCAGATTTGCTGCCAGATCATCCACAGGGAGATCATAAAAGCCAAGATGGTAGCCGCAGTTGTGCAGTCAAAGCCCCAACCCATCTCAAATATAAAACATGTGACCTGTGCACAAAAGGGGCTTCGGTCATGCCATTGGGACTGCCATGCTGACTTTTTTAACCACCTCCCCGCCAAGTGCAGACACTCCTGTTTGCAGAAGTAGTTTGCAATGTATCTGAGATGAAAATGTCAGTTAAGAAATACTACTATTATTGCCTGGGAAATATATATTCTACAGTTCATGTTTACTACATAAATACCCAGGCACACAGGACAATTTCACATCTCCCTGCTGCTTTCAGATACCAACCCTGCTACAACCTATAAAGTTGCCAGGTTCCACGCAGCGATTAAAATTAGTCAGATGATGACCTGGGCCATAAACCAGAGTTAATGAGCACCTAATTCGCCATATTAGAGTGCTCTGTAATTTGATATGCTCCCCCACACCCATCTAATGCTCCTATCCCCCCCTTTTCAGATCCTTTTAGGTTCTTGTTTTTTATATACACTTTCTGTTTTATATCTTTTAGCTTTTCAAAACTTTTTTTATAAACTCTGATGTATCTTTTATGCTTCTTAATTGATTGTACCCCACCCTCCTTATGCTGATCTATGGCCGTAATAAAGATTTGATTTGTTTCACAGTTCATGTTACTGCTTTTGTTCTCTGTAAAGACATGTCTGAAGGTTTTTTTGACTCAGGTCCTCATTAGCTTTATGACTGCCTGTCCCAGGTGGAATACACGTTGGCCAAAAGGGCATGCTATGGATTCCCCACCCAAGACATTAAGAGTTGGGGCTGAGAAACCAGACCTTCTCAGTTGCAGTCCCATCTTTCTGCAGCAATCTGTCCCCAGTGTTAACCCCCCCCCCTTCCTTAGGGTTTGCAAGGGTGCAAAATCATTCTTTTCTGCAGGGGCTTTGGAATGAAGGGGGCAAGATCATTTGGAATGAAGGTGTTCTTGGTGTGGGGCTGATTTCTGTAGTGGCTTGCCTTTAGGCATTCATGTGTTTATTATTTTACAGTATTATTGTATGGTTTATGGTTTTATGAATTGTAAACCATTGACAGTTGGCATACAAATAACTGTGTTTATAAATAAATAAATAAATAAATAAATAAATAAATAAATAAATAAATAGGTCAGCCAGAGAAAGTCTTGTATTATTGCTCAGATTGTTCTCTAGGCCAGGTCATACCCTACAACATCTTATGCTGAAGCTGTTTCCTTCACAAGCACTCTCCATGATCGGCATAGCTGGTTCTTGGCATTTTGACAGTAGATCCGTACAAAGAGTTATTACTATCTTTCCCTACCTGATGCCCTCCAGATGTGC